TGCTTGTGTATATTTGTGTGATAGTGTAAAGTACTCACCCTTACATTTACTTTTCAGGTGGCTAAGACGATCAGTACTGAGCTCAGTGAAGGGATAGATAAAACTGCTATAAGACTTAGGAAGTTATTTCAAAAACTTTGATAAATTTGAACTAGTCCTGTAGCAATGATTTGATATAAACTTGTAATCCATCTTTATTTTGAAATACTTTATTAAACTATGTATTGAAAACCGCTTGAATGAAAATTTTTATTTATTCTCACTTATTGTGAAATTCATTTATTTTAGAAATTAAATTTAAAGTATTACACTCTCAAAAGAGCAATAAACCTACAATAAGACCAACCGGTTGTTAAGCGAATAAATCAAAACAATCCATATCCAAAGAAGTAGATGTAGCAATTCAATTTATTTATCCATTAAGCATATATGATATAATCCACGCACATACAACTAGCTCATGTAATTATAAAAATTAATGAATGTATTAGATTGGATTGTTATTTGTTGTGGATGTATAATGAACCATTCAATATATTTTGTAATTTATTGAGTTAAGTAGTTCAAATTTTATTAAGGTAGTTGCTACAATACTCTTAAACTTGGAGGGACATTGAATGCTCTCTGTAGATTATACTAACATATTAAATGATATTTATATTTTTTTCAAATGCACCACTAATTCCACTATTAAAATTAATGGTTATAATTGTTTCACGTATATAAAAGCATATAATACTCCCTCATTTATCAGAGACATAAGTCTTTATGAAACAAGTTCTACACTCTACAAAGTAAAGTACTAGAATATTTGTCCATATATTCACATTTTAAAAAAAAAACTACATATCATCTTCATTCATAGGTGAGTAACAATTTTGGGTCTCACACTCATATTTTTTAGACACCTAAATTCTTATTAAATTAAAAATATTTTTTAAAAATAGTAAAATCTATCATTTTAGACTTTCTAGAATGGCATACAACTTGATATATGATAACAAAATTTTGGTTTAAGTGGATGCAATGAAATTTCTTTTTATTAAAAGTTTTTTTATATATTTTAATAAGGATTTAATTTGGATAAATTTCTTATTTAGTATTTATAATAATAAAAATTAAGCAGTGAAATAAATGAAATTATTTTTATAATTAAAAATTATATTTTATAAATTATACGCTCTCAATTAGTTTTATCAAACAAACAAAATTTAAGTAAACTACAAAAACAATCACAAACAAACTTAAATTTTATAAATTATATTAACATGTCTTAAACGAAGAAATAAGTAGTGTAAATGCCAATCTCCTATTCAAGCTGGAGATTTAATATACATAATAAATAAATTGTAGATTTTTAGTTTTTTAAAAGTAAATAAAAAATAAAAATGATGTGTAAAGTAGGAAAAATACTAATATTAAAATAATAAGTTAAAAATATTAAAATAAATTTTCAAAAAAAATAATTAAATAACATTTAAATAATTGTGTTTCACTTTATTTATATTATAAATAAATAAATTTTTCTCAACATTGTTAGTTTGGTAAATTATGTGACCTAATTTTATTAGTTTATATAATAATTTATGAACTACTCATTTAAAGTATGGTATTTTTTACCATATTTATAAATTTAAGAAGTTATTATATACTATTTTTTAAATTGATGATTGTAATTTGTTTAATGTTTTAAAAATTAAAAAGTATTTACATTTTTTATGAATAAATTACTAATTTTATTATCTATTAATATAAAATTAATAGTAATGATTGTTTTACGTAAAAGTGCATAAAAATATTCACTATAAAATAAAATAAAATAAAAATATTATAAATCCCATTTCATAAAGAATGCATCTCTAATTAAAATGCATCTTAAAAATATTGATATATTTAAATGAGAGATAAAACATAAAAGAAAAAATAAAAAACAAAGAAAAAAATAAGGTTGTAAAAAAAAATAAAAATATATTATTTAGATAGATAAAAATAAGAGAAGAAATAAAAAAAGATTTTCCACTTATTTAAATAAATAAAATAGGATAATAAACAAATAAGTTATATTAAAAATTTATTTATAATAACAATAAAAAAATAATTTAATAAAGAGTTATTATAATATTTTTATGTAATAAAAAAATATTTTATATTTTTAGATTATATTAAAATTATCTAATAACAAATTTAAAAAATAAATTAATGTCCCATCCCCTCTTTTCTTCCCAATTTGGGGAGAAGTTTCCTTTTTTTTTTTTTTTTTCTTACTCTCAAACACAATTTTTTTTAAATCCCTTTTTCCTCTTTCCAACCAAATGGATCTTATACGTTAATAGCACCTTTTAAAGGTCTAAAATAAGTAAGGGGATAATAAATCTGAATAAAGATGCTTTTAAGCGTAAAAAATACTAAAAAATTGTTTTAAGTTATACGAATTATTATATTATTTAATAATTTTATTTTAAAATTAACTATTAGATTAAAAAATCTATATATAAATTATATTTATAAAATTTTATTTTACTTTTATATTATTTGATATCTTATTCATATAAAATAAATTTAATATAATATACATGTTCAAAGTATGTGAAAATAAGTACTCTTTAATTATATTTTTATAATTTTAACAAAATTAATAGTTTGATCAATAAAAATTATATTGTATATAAATGTTGTGTCGATATAATTTAATTTCTCTTCTTCCACAAACAAATATTATAAAGTATATATATAATTTTTGTAATACTTACCTCTTTTATATCATGTAATTCTAACCTAGTTTAATTTAAAATGGATATTTTTACGTTGAATAATATAAAAATAACCTTTATACATTTTATTGTATACCAAGTTCTAAAGTAATTAAAAAAAGTCAAAAAGTTAAAAGATTCAAAAACATTTTAAAATGGCACATGCAATTCACGTAAGCCTAAGTTTTTTTTTTTCTTGTTACAGTACGTGGGTATGAGTGTACATATTTTAACTGAATTTTTGTAATAATTTTTTTATATAAAATATTTATATTTTTATTAAAAAATTATTTTTATTCAAATTCTTAGTTGTTTAATACAAATGAAGAAAGAATTACAAAGTCTAAAGGTAATAAATTTAAAGACATATAAAAGATTTTTGCCATAGTAAAAAAATGTAATGTGCTAATTTAAATTCACACAATTATTATTAATAATATTTTTTATTCAGTGTTATCGAAGAAAATTAATGCGATATATTTAATGATACTATACACTATGAAATATTAATTTCTTATATAATTTCTCTCTTATTATATTTCTTGCTCTTCTATTTTAAAATATTATAATTCTCTCTTCTAAAAAATTAAAATGCATAACAATTTAATCTATTTAATTTTAATTGTTAAAATACTATTAAAACTTGTTTGACAATCATTTTATTAGAATATTTTTTTAATAAATTTACACTTAATCACTTGTGATTGTGATAAGAATTAAAAAAAAATCAAATAATGAAAATAAAAACTACAAAAATTCTCACTTTTTATAAAAATATACAAGATGTAAACAAATTGTCAATTTAACACATTCAATAAAAACAAATAAATCATGAAAAGATTTAGAAAATTATGGTATACATTAAAAATTATAGTATGGTATTAAATGATTTTTTTTTTTTTAACTCTACACAGACATGAAGTATTAGACTACGTATAAATTTAGAAAAAATGAAAACAAACATATTATAATAAAAAAATAAAATCAATAGAATTGTTAAATTTTGACTGATTTTATTCGTTATATTTCATAAAAATGAAATGTATTTGTATCATTTGTAAGCAATATTTGTTTCTATTATTTATTATATTGTATTTTGCCCTTTTTTTTCCCCTTTCATCAAGGAATTAACTTCTTCTCATTGGACCTTATGCTTTTATTCATATCAACTCAAGCACAATGATTAAAAAACTTAAGATTATGTATTTGATTCAAAAGCGAAGGAAAAGAGAGGGGAGATAAAGAATTTTTTTCTTCTTTTTACTTTAATTGTTTCGAAAATTTTGAAGAGAAAGGAGAGAAATGACGGGATTGAATTTTTTTCACTCCTGTTTTTGCTTTCTCAACAATATTTAGAAGAGTCAAAGGAGAAAGAAAATTGCATATGATATATGAAAAATATTAACAAAGTTATCTCTAAGAAATATTTTAGGAATTAGACTGAAGAGAAAAAAGAGGAAGAAATTTTTTCTATTTTCAATGAATATTTCTAATTTTCTTCATTTTTATAAATATTATGTAACTCTTAATTTGAAAAAATATACTCTCGATTTTCCTTAAAATTAAATTCTAAACGTACTTTTAACATTTTATTTACCTTCTCATCCCCTCCATAGATACTTATAATGGCATACCAATATAATAACATTATTCATCATTTTCCCTCCTTGCTAATCGAACAAGGAGACTGTCCCATCCCCTCTTATGCCGTCCTATGAACCAAATATAGTATAAGACAAACCCTCAAAGTTAATTAATACATATAAATTCATTGATGTATCTAATATTTTTTATCCTTAATTTCAAACTTTATTTTTTATTTGAGGAAAAAACTATGATGAGTTATATATAGAAAAAGTTCCTTCTCACCTAATTTTTAGTTTGATTTATATCATCAATTCTAATATTTTTATATTTATTTTTTTACCCTCATCACTCTTTTTTCCCCTTTTTCATTATATCATCTTTCACGTCTCTCTCTCTCTCTCTTTTTATGTCAAAGAATTTTTTCTAATTTATCAACTTTCAAAAATTTGGACGTGTTGATGTTAAAGGTTTCATCCTCTTTATTTACACCACACACTTTTGCATCAAAATTAGAGAATTGGATTTGGAAACAGTGATACAAACAACAACAAATTAATATTGTGGAAATTGATGTTGACAAGTAGAAGACAACAGGAGAAAAAAAATGCCAAATCCACGTCTATAAATTTTAAATGGGAGCTAGTGTAAGTGTATTATTGATCTTGTGGAAGTGAGAGATGGTAGGGCCAGTGAGGCCTCAATTTGTGCTGTTTGGTTCATCCATAGTTCAGTTCAGTTATAGCAATGAAGGTTGGGGTGCCATTCTTGCCGACTTGTATTCTCGCAAGGTAGATATATGTCGAGTTTTCCTTGTTTATTCCATTATGTTGCTCGTCTTCTTTATCTTCAGTTTAATTGTGTTCTTTCTTTTTCTTCATTGGATGTACTTTGATTTGCACAATCTTGGGTTGTCTGATTAACGATTACTCAATTTCATTTCTAACTTCTGTTATGAATGATTAAAAAGAGCGTAATTCACATGTTGAGATATATTGTTTTGATTTGCTCTTCGTTTTGTTTATATGTCCTCATGTTTTATATATAAAGATGTGGTTTTTGTGATCTAGCTATGGATGACCTTTTATTAAGGCTTTTTCTTTTTTTACAATTTTCTTTTTAAAGTTTTAATCTTTAAGAACAGAACTTTTTTTTGTGCGTATTAGACTTTTTGTAGGTGAGTCTTCAAGAATAGGACTGCATGCAATGAAAGAGTTCCTTTTGGGAAAATATGGTCTTGGCACTAGTTTAGGAATTAATAAATGATTTTTAATTAAAAATCACATTGGAAGTGCATATAAATAATGGTAAAAGTGAATCAAAAACAATTTTTAATAAAGACATCATTTTATTTTTTTAATTGATATCCTCGGTCCCCTTTACCACTAATTTCGATGCCATGAATGTGTATGCAAAGTTTGCATGTCTTTTCTTTATTATAGTCAAATAATTTACCATATTGAGAACCTTTTGAGGAAGTGGTGGTCCTGTAGTACAACTACACCAATAATTCGAGAAAAGGTGTAAATTCCAAATATAAGTGGTAGTCTTCTATATCTGAATCAATATCAATATGATACAAGATTAGAAACGTGAATGTACAAAAAAAAAAAAAAATGCAATGGAAAAAAGATAATGTAGTCATGTATTACACACTCTAATTAATATGTTTGAAAGTCCTCATGCTCTCCATCAACCCTTCTTTCTTCTAGCATAAGGCCAGAAATTAGAGTAATATCCAATGTTGAAAAGAGACTGGTCTTAGAACACACGCATCTAAAATGTCTTTTTTTTTTTTTTTTCTAATATCAGCCTAAACAACGCATTCAGTTAATTTACATTTATATATGTTTTTTTTGTGAGTGATGGATTAATTATGATGGTAAATGAGTTTTTGGCTTGACATAGGCAGATATCATTTTGCGAGGATATGCTGGTTGGAATTCAAGGCGAGCTTTGCAAGTTCTAGATAAAATATTTCCCAAGGTATTGTTGAGAACATGTGTTAATTGCCTATGTTGAATAAAATCTCACATTTTCTTCATCTTTAATATCTGATCCTTTCTTGAGAAATGTTAAATGTGGTTATTTTAGTTATAGTAGTAACAAATGAAACTTCAGCTAGCTAGCTAATCCATTGGCTTTTGCTTGAGTATAAAATGAAAATATAATTTTGCATATGTTGGTCTGAGTTTTTCTTAGAACTGATCACAGACATATCAATAATATTTTTTTGAAATTTATAAAATCAATTGTATTAGGATAAACTTCATGTCGTAATTGTAGTGTGGACACACGAACACGTTAATCTTCAGATTCATTTTTACGCAATCTGATTTGATTCTTGCTCAAAATAACTTAAAAGGGAAGTGAATCACCTTTTTACTCCCTCATCTTTAACTTAGGATGCTACTATTCAGCCATCTTTGGTAATTGTGTACTTCGGGGGTAATGATTCCACTCATCCAGATCCATTCGGCCTTGGTCTTCATGTACCCCTCCAAGAATACATTGAAAATATGAGGAAGATTGTTACCCATCTTAAGGTAAACTTTCACACAAGAGAATCACATTCCTATCTTTTTGCACGCGTTACCTTCCTAAATAAAAGCTATATTTACACTTCAAGTTCAAGTATTCATTACCTATATATTTATCACTATGAAATTTGACTCAATTCCTAATGGTTGTCAGAGCCTTTCAAAGAAGACTCGCATAATACTTCTCAGTTCTCCTCCCATCAATGAGGCACAAATGCATGAAACATTCAGGTTTTGACTCCTATTGGCTTTGGTTGTAGCATATAATTTCACATGATCTTGAGACTATGATACATATGCCTGCACTTCTACTTTTTTATGACACCTATACTTTTTTTTATGCTGTATGATTATTATATAATGACAAAAGTATGTATTAAGGGTATGTTGCTTGCAACCTCTTTGTTTAAACCCCTCCTCTCAAATTGGCACATACTTTTCATAAACTCTATGGTTGTTATTTACTAATTAATTAATTAATAAATAAAACATGTACATAGCCTAGCTAAAAGGTTATGTGATATGTGGTATTCAAACTTGAGATTAAGCTGGAATGTTGGTGTCCGAATATGTGAAAGTTGAGATCTTTGGCCTTATAGCAATAAGATTTGAATCTATTATGGTATCGCATGATAAGTTTAGAAGATGGCATGCTCCATCCAGAAAGGCTTTTCATTCTTGTTACTTTATTATTTAAAATTTATAATTCAATCTTAAACTCTAATGATATAATGGTTGGACTAAAACCAGCAAAATATTAGGGCAATTGAAAAGGACAAATGAATCTTGTCATATATATTCAGAAGCATGTTTGGAGCTATGTCATGAGATGAATGTCAAGGCTATTGATCTTTGGTCTACACTCCAACAAAGGCATGATTGGTTAGATGTTTGCTTCACGTAAGTATGCCAATTGTTGTCTTATGTATATGAAGGAAAGGCACAATTGTACTTTTCTTTCATTTGATTGAATGGTGTTTAATAGGGATGGAATTCATTTGTCATCTGAGGGGAACAAGATAGTGGCAAAAGAGATATTGAAGGTTCTTGGAGAAGCTGACTGGGAACCTAGTCTTAACTGGAAGTCAATGCCAATTGAATTTGCAGAAGAATCACCATATGATCCAATTGGTGCAGATGAAGAAAAGACTAATATATATGTCTCTAATTGTAGCTTCCATGGAAGTTCTCAACTGGAATAGAGTTTTTGTACATTTTCAAACTACCAAAACCTTCATAATTTGAAGAGCCATGAGTCACAAACTAGCAGAGTTTCATCGTGCTTAAAGAAAAATGGTGTGTTCTTAGTGCATATTAAGTGTGTTACATTTGATATTTTATTTTTAATTTTCTCGAGTGAATGTTGTGAACTTGTGATTGGATTTCACCATGATTTTTTATGTTGGTATCTATATACTATTTATTAATCATGGAATTTTACATCCGAACATACAACACTGTTCAATAATGACCCCATCGAGTCCAGTATTAATAAGTCAACTATCGTACAAGATTGTGGCGAGCAAACAATTTATTATATAGTATAATATATTAAAGTGCACACTGATTTTGACACATGAATTGCCCAAACTTTCATTTTGTCAACTCATCAAATTTGCTAGAATTATCATATTCTAAATCAGCATGTTTATCTTTCATTAGTTTCAATGAATCTTTTTGTTTATATTTTTGAAGTAATTAATTATTAACATGAATAAGAACCATCAATTCAATAGTATAATATATTAATTATTAGATAAAAGGCTTTCAATTTGTAGCACTTGACATTTTATAACCGTTCAACTTCTAATAATTTCTAAGGCAAACATGAAGGAGTTTTTCCAGCTTTTCTATTAGTGGCACGAATAACTACACTGAAAAATGCTAATTTGCCTTCAAGTTACGTGAGCAACTTTTACTTGTCAGCAATTGACCATACGAGTGTTTTGACCACGTACTTCCTATGAAAACTTATATGTCTAGCTTAAAATATCTAAACATAATTTTTTAAGTCTTTTGGATGGCTTTTATTTGTTAATAATTCACCTTAGGAGCGTTCTGATCTTATACTTTCTAAATGTGCTTTAACTTATGCACTTGATTTAAAAAGATCAAACTTTGCTCGCTAGACTTAAGGGTCTATCTAGTTTCTTTGTTGGCTTGGTCATTTGATCACCTTCGTAAATTATGTTATAACATGCATCACCCTTAATAATGAGAGCAATCAATCAAGAAAATGACCTTTTACAAGAAGGTAAATAATGAGGAAAGTGGCCTTAAGCAAGAAAGCAATAAATCAAAAGGTGACTTCAAGCTAGAAAGTGAAAGAAAAAAAAAGTGACCACAAGAAATCAATCTCAATACAGCAATCTATCAGAAAAGTCACCTCTAATAGAAAAGTGATCAATTAGCAATGTTATTAAGCAAGTAAGCATTTAATTAGGAAAGGATACCAAAGCAAGAAAAAGAAATAAAGCTCTCTCAAATAAGAAAGTATTTAATTAGGATCGGACATCATCCTCAAATAAGAAAACACCAAAGTGTTCTTAAAGACAAAAAAGCAACAAAGTATCATCAAATAACAAAGCATTCAGTCTAAACAACGACATCAATCAAGAAAGCAATCAATTAAGAAAACAACTACTATAAGCAAAAAAGCAATCAATCAATCAAAAAAACTTATGCAAGACGCAATTCATAGATGGCATGGTTGGTGTATAAGAATTCTATTAATCATAAGCAAAATTATTTGTGTAACTAAGAAGTTGCCATTTGTTTATTTATTGTGAAGCCATGCAAGGCCGGCCCAATCCATAACCAATCCTAAAGTGAATATTAAATAAGTTTTTTTAAATTATCTAAAATAATATATTAAAATTATTATTATTTCATTTAAATATATTTTTATATTTTTTACTAAATAAAATCAGTTACTTAATTAAAATAATAAATTTCATTTAGTATTCTTTTTAATAGATATTAAAGCCCTTTTATTTATTATTATTAAAATATTATTGATTCAAGTAATATTTTATCAGTTTTAGTTTAAACAACTCATGCATGCTAAAACAACATGAATCGTTGACATATTTCTATAAGTTATCATATGAGTAGAAAGTAATTTCCATGTATGATAGTAGTTCTGGTTTATTTTAATGTTTATAATATTAAATAATTAAAATATGTATATTTTAATTAGAACTAATAAAAATAAAGTTAAATAATATGATAAATAAAGTATAAAAAAAAATATATTAGAGTAAAATGTTAAGCTTATTTTTAAAGAAAAATATTTACTATTAGCATTACTTGTATAAGTAATAATGTTTTTTAAAATGAAAATATTAATAATTAAAATCATTTTTAGAAGGTTTTTTTTTTTTTTTTTTTTTTGAGATTTCAAGCAAATGTTTTATCTATGTGATACTTTGATTGACTCTGGAATCACAATATCATTATTAGAGATAAAAAAAAATAATAAGTTTAGATAAATTAATTATTAGAATTAATTTTCTTTCAAAAACTAACATTAAAATTTTATAAAAATAAAAAAATTTCTTTTTATTTTCTCCTTATTTTGTTTTGTGCAAACCTACCTCTTAGTTTCGACCAAACATTTTAAATAAAATAATACTATACTGAATTTCTATATGCTCTTCAACACTTAGATTTTTTTTTTCATGTTTCCTTCGAGTTCTAGTGTTATCATTTAATTATTATTCACCTCTTTTATAAAAGTATCTAGAGGTGTTGATTCTAATGGCAGATTTATTATAGGATTTTTTAGGTCCTTAGACCCTTACTCTCTTTGGTTGCCAAGTTATGAGAGATTTATTGGGCCTTTAGCTTGTAATTGAGGAAAACATTAACCTTATATATATAGAAAGTGACTCTAAAGAAGTCATCTTGCTTATTGTTAATTTTCAGACTTGTAATCATCTGTCATACTTTATAACTAGTAAGATTAGACAATTGCTAGCTAAGATTAGATTCATTAAGTTTAATCATATTTTTCGCAAAAGCTAACTAGCGTGGTAATTGATTAGCCAAGTGTGATTTAGAGGCTGAAATTTCTTTTTCTAATTTTGTTGATGCTCCCCCTCCTTATTTCCTTTCTTAAGGTTAGATGCTCTTATAATCTCTTTCTTTAGATTGTTGTCTTAGGTATTTTAGACTTTTTAGCCTCGTTTCTTAGCAAAAAATAAAAATAAAAAAGTATCTTAAGGTGTTGAGAAATGGGGTTGAATTTGAAAAAAAAAAAATCTATCTAGCCAAAATTTTACTCGTGACTCAAATTAATTCGACAAGATCATTAATAGGTTAATTTGGGTTGAATAATTGTACCATTACATAAAAATATTTTTATAATTTATAAAATTTAATAATGATTATATAAATTAATCTATAATATTTATATACAAAATTTTGATTTTTATTGGATAATGAATTATTTATAAAAAATATATATTAAAAATAAAAAATAAAAATATATAATATTATAAAATAATTAAATTTTTTATATTAATTAAGTTAGCTCAAATATATCATACTCAACCCATAAATCTATATTTTCGAGACATAAACAAACTCAATTATTCGATTCAATTGATTAATTTTAGTTCGAATAGTTAGTTGGATTTACTTGACTCATGAACATCCTTAATCATCACTAGCTTTAGCTATTAAATAGATTAATAAATATATAATATAAAAATAATGTTAATATTTATTTAAATAGACTATTTTATTAAATTTGAAAATTTTAAATAGTTTAAATTTTTTATATTTTTATTAAATAATTCTAAAAAAAATCTTAACACCACTTTATTTAATTTAACAAAAAATATGAACTAGGTTTATTATATTCCTACCAAAGTATCTCTCCTAATTTTGTTTATAATTAATTCACATCGGTATAGTTTGTTGTCACTTTGTATTTTAATATTATTTTTAAATTTAAATAAGTTTTAAATTTCTAATAAAATGATACTTTTTTTTATTTAATCTCTCGTTTTTATTTTTTAAATAAATCTCAATTTTTTAAAGTCTTATATGATCTTTTTGTTAATTATTTTTTAATTGTTTTATTTATGTATCTTTCAATTTAACTCATATAATTTAAAATTAATATGAATAATAATGTTACATTTATTTATTTATCCTTTTTATATTTTTAAATTTTATTTTTCAAAAGTCTACTGTTATAACTTAAAATCTCACTAAAAAAATTATTAAGAGTACAATACTATTGATGTCGTATCTCATCCATATCATATTTTAGTGAAATTATACGAACAAACTTAAATACTATATGAACAAATAATAAAAAAAGTTAATGTATTACTATGAGAGAGATCATATGAAAATAAAGAACTTTTGATAACTAAATTTAAAAAAAGTATAAAAAAAGAGATAAAATAAAAAAATTACTAATTTTTTTAAAAATAAATTTTACTTTTAATTTATGTATATTAGGTATAATTTAATTTATAAACTTAAAATATGTTTTTAATCTTTATATTTTAGTAATTATTTATTCCTTACAAATTATATTTTATTTTGTTCCTTATACTTTAATAAAATAATTGTTTTTATTTTTTGTAACTGATGCGATTTAATAAAATAAGTCACATTTGAAAATATTTTAATAGATTAAATCAATAAAAAAACTAAAAAATTCATTAAAAATACTAATTAAAAAATATTTTAAGAGACTATAATAAAAAAAATGATAAACTGTAAAAGAAGTATTTAATCCTATTTTATATAATGAAAAATTATTATAATTTTATAATTATATCAATAATTTATTATTATAAAATAAAAATGTTACAAATACAAAAAATTAAACTTCTAAATATAAAAATGTTAATAAATAAATTTCTTAAAACTTTGAACCACCAAATTAGTACTTTAAATTTTAAATATTTAAATAATTATCATATTAATTATTTAAATATTTTTTCATGTAGCTTGTTATTTAAAAAATTATTGTGTCATAAATTAATTTCTTAAATTAAAATATCATAATCTTGATCGTTAGAAAAGGATAATTTTTTTTTAAAAATTATCAAATAAATTATTTGGTACAATTAAAATAATGAAAAAAATATATTAAGTGACAAAGTGAGGACTGATATAACAATTGTTTAAATCTTTAAATATTAATTTCATGGCTTAAATTATTAAACCTATTATTTGAAGTTTTATGTTTTTTTATTAAATTTAATTTTTATTATTAAATTTAACTATCTAAAAATGATAATTAAAAAAATACATGTTTATTATGTTAAAATTATAAAATTACAATAAATATATATTTATTTGAAGTTAATATTTTTAATTAAAGTATTTATCAAAAAATTTAAAAAAAAAAAGATTTCCCTGGCAAATTGAATCATGCCCCGAGCAGGGGCAAAACCCGCCGCGCCAGCGCGCAGCCAGTGTCATGCCCAAAAGTCCAAAACCAAACTACTATTCAATTTGGTGTTCATATTTTGAATACCCATTCATTGCCACAAGCATCTAACAAATGGATATAGCTATCTTCTCTCCATCATCGCTATTCTCCGAAGATGACACTTCTTCTCGTAATCTCTCTCTCTCTCTCTCTCTCGTATTTCAGTTCTACCTAATGGGATAAATGGGGTTTCTGAATGCAGGTGAGGAAAATTCAGACGCTCGGGAAAACTATGTTGAGAGGAAGCACCAGTTTCCTGGGACGGTAAAGCTTCTATCTTTAGTATCAAAAGTAGCTGTTAAAACGAGTTAATCATGTGGATTTGTTTTGAGGATAGTATAGAAATTTTAAGTTTAATGGGGGTATTATTTGAAGAGTTTAGCTAAAGTACTGTGCATTTAGAAGTCTTTTTTTTCCTCTTAGTTTTGGTTGCTTACTATGAGAGTTTTGTTGTTTGAACAACCGTGAGCTTGTAATGTTAATGAGTTTGAGTTGCCCCAACGGATGTGCAATTTGGTATGTGTTGGAAGGGTCAAAATTTGAGCTCAAGTGTTCTGCCGTTTGGGAAATGAAAATGTTGAAAGCATGCATGATATTGCTGAGTTTATAGCAAATGGGGAAAACCTAACCCCGTACGGTCTCCATGGGCTTAGAAAGCTACTGTTGTTTAGAAAGATCTGCGTGATACACATTTTTGGACAGCTTATCAATTCTTTCAGAAATATTAGGTATGGGAATTGAGTCTCACATTTGGAGTATGGGATTCTGGTGTGAGCTGTGGATTGGGATCTTCCATCACAATGGCCAGCTTTCGTGGTGTTGGAAGATTGGTATCAAGTGAAATTTTAAACTTTGGCTATGTATCTAGGTTGCAAATGAGGGGGTGCGTGTGCTGATGCTGACATTTTAGCATTCATGGTGGAATATTAAGATCCAATCCAAGCTTTGGGACTTGAGTCCAACATTGGATGTATGAGATTCTAATGTGAGATTTATATGGTCTTGGGCTCTGCCACTACCATGTCTGGGTTTTGTGATGTCATTCTCTCAAAGTTTGTATCAGTTTGCATTACTGTTTCTTGTTGATTAATGTTTCAGCTAGGTTTATGAAAATTTAGTTTTTGATTAACTAGGTTTATGAAAATTTAGTTTTTGACCAAGCACAATGACGTCTATGATCCATGTAGCTGACTTCACCTAGTGAGATAAGACTTGATTGTTGTTGTATTATGTGTATGCCTGTTTTATTTTTGGAAGCTTTTGCTTTTGCTGTTGTTTCATTTGAGATGGTCATATTTCCTGTCTTGTTGTTTCTGTTAGGCATATTGATTTTATGTGAGATCCCTTGAAAGGACTTAAATATTTCTGAACTTCCTAATTTAGTTTTGCTTGAGGTTTTGTTAGCATTAACTTGTACTGAACTGCTCTGAGTTCTGCCATTTTCTTTTATGCAGGAGTTGATTATTCGAGAATTTTCCTTTCATCAACTGAATGCTAACTTGCTCTGGCCTGGGACATTTGCCTTTGCAGAATGGTTGGTTCAGCACAGTTCATGCATCGAAGGACGACGTGCCATTGAGTTGGGGAGGTATTCAATTACTTGTATACTAATTTATGTGTCTAAGCTATTGTTATTTTTAAAGTATCTAGTGAAGAAGTCTTGCTCAAAATTTTCAAAGTGATGGGATCTTGACTTGATCTTATGATATTTGAATCATGCTGTGCATCCATCAATAATCACTCTTGATTGTACATTTCTCTTCTGTGATTAGCAGGCCTTACTGCTGTCTCTTATAGAGGCATATTACCATGTTTGTAGTTAGCGTGGAGGTGCATTGATCTTTGTTGGGTGGTCAAAATCAATGCAAGGATTTGTGTTACCATAAGATGTGTGCCACTGAAAAGCCTGTGAATAATGTACTTAGTTGTTATTTTTTTGTCTCATAGTTCAATGCAGCTAATATCAAAATATCAACCATAAAATAAACCGAGTCCATTTTAGTTATATGATTTCATGTCAGATAGCTCTTCACATTTCATACATTTGATTTCTTTTTTGTCTTGCTCATGTTGCTTCCAATTTCAGTGGCACAGGCGCTTTGGCCATATTTCTTCGAAAATCATATGATCTTGATATTACAACTTCAGACTACGATGATCAAGAAATAGAGGATAACATAGCTCACAACTGCAGGGAAAATGAAATACCTGCCATTCCTCACATAAAACGTGAGCCTTTTTCAGTTAACCTAGTTGTCTTTTGCTTCTTAGTTAGCTATTGGCAAGGGTTTCAAAGCACTGATTCTGTGCTTTCTGGGTAGTTAGATTTCCCTTTGATTGTAGTTAAAAATCTTTACGCCATAAAACTAATATTGTTTTTTTTATCTTTATCATTGCTTAGTTAATGTATCTTGATGCCTATGAATGCAAATGAAATCTGATTGTTATATCCTGCCATTCCTTTCTTCTGGATGATTAGTACTAATGATGAATGATTAGTATTCTTTTTATCTTGAAAAGCACTCTAGAATTCGTAACCATCTTTAGAAGTGACAAGCCAATCAATATGTACTTCCTTAAATTATTTTGTTTGTGGTAAATTTTCCCATTCATAGTTCTTTTCCTGACACAGCCAATAAATGAGCTAGATTTCCTTTTACTTTAGTCCATTTGGAAATTTAGGGTCATAGTTATATTTCTTCTACTTTGTATCACATAATTAATATTTTTTCCCTTTGTACTAGGCTATTTCCAATGAAATTTTGTTCTGAAGTTGTGTTTTTATTTAAAGGTTTTGTTCACAAATTCAAACCCACTTTGTTACTCTTACTATAATTATGTTTAGTGATGATGCATGTGAATTTCTTATTGCTCCTTTTCAATCATTTTTCACTTCACAAGGCATTTTATACCAATTATCATGTGCTCATACCCCAAAACATAATGGTGTGGTGAAAAGGAAAAAATCATGCCTAGTTGAAAACTTGAAATAGCTCATGCATTGATGCTTAACTTCATTGTGCCATTTTGCTTTTGGGGAAGCCCCCTCCACACTGCATGCTGTCTAATAAACTGCTTGCCAGAATCCATCCTCCAAAATCAAGTGCTCTCGTCTATGTTGTTCCCTAAGTAAGACCCTATTCTCTTTCACTCTGAGACACTTGTTGTTTTTTTTCTCCACAACCTTACTATTGGAAAAATAAATTGGTTGCCAAATCCTTAAAATGTCCTTTCCTGGGTGTAAAAAAGCTTCTGTTATACTCTCCAGACCTCGAAAGATCTGTTGTCTATGCTACGGTATCTTCTTTAAGACTTGTCCCTTCTTTGCATATACTTTTGATTTGCATTATGGCATTAACATTATTCTCCTGATTGGTCACGGCTCCTTTTAGGTTGCTCTCACATCTGTCTTGCCTCCTTCCTTCCTCATGTCAATAAAGACTTATCTTCTACTCCATGATCATCTAGTCATACATGCTACTACCAATCCAGTTCCCATCCTTCCTCTAGACTTATCTTCTACTCCTTGAAACTCGTGCTTCATTCCCTGAACTAGAACTAACCATAGAATTGAATTGCACAAAGGTATCAACTATAATCTAATCCCTTACCCTCTTTATGTCTGTCATTTAAATTATCTTAATCCAACTCCTTATTATGCCTGTGTATTCTTTGTCTTTTTCTTTCTCTATACTATACCCAAAACTATTAGTGAAGTCCTCTCCAACCTTGGATGGAACCATACCATGGTTGATGAAATGAATGGTTTACCCTCTAATGGCTCTCAAGAACATTTACCTCTTGGCAAGCTTACTATTGGTTGTCGATGGGTCTATAGTGTCAAGATTAACTCTGATGAAAAAGTTCATCATTTGAAAGCTGTCTAATGTTCAAATGATAGTAGGATACACAAATTTTCTGCCTTAACTATGGAGACATGTTTCCCTGTGACCAAGATTGGTTTTGTTTACCTCTTCCTTGCTACGGCTAAAGACTAACAATTGCAATGATTTGTTCCTATCATGATGAAATTTCAAAAATTACTTATGCCTATTGGCCAAAGTTATAGACTTTTTGAATACATTAGTTATTAAAAGAGATCTTTTCATTAATAATATTTCTGAAAATTTGGTTTTTGACTGAGCTCAATGATGTCATGTGATCCATGTAACCGACTTTATCTAATTAGATTAGACTTAATTGTTGTTGTTATTATGGTTCCTTGCTACAACTGCTATTCAGCAATGGTCCTTTCTTTGATTAGACATTTGAAATAGGAAGAGCTCAATAGGCTGTACTACACACAATGCATTCCACCTTATCTGCTACTTGTGACACTCCCTCTTTGGCTTATAATAATCTTCCTGTGCTTTGAAATGGAAGACTCAACGAACTCATTTGGCAATTCCACATGACTCAATGTTAGTGCTAGTCATTCTGCTGTATTCTTTGACCACTCTTTACCTAGCCTTTGCCTTCAATTGGTTGTTTATGTTAGTAACATTGTCATCATCGACAATCATCAAACTAGTATCCAAAGATTAATGGCATCTGTCACACCACTTTTAAATAAAATAATTTGAGCCATTTCAATTTATTTTGGGGAATCAGGTTTTACAATCTCACGATGTTGCCAACACTCAGAGAAAGTATGCTTAGATATACTTAAAGGAACAAGCACTGTGGATTGCCAATGTAGTGATACTCCAATGGTTTCCAATGTCATACTATTGGGTTAGGGGGAACCTCATACAAAGCTTTATAGATATAGATATCTTGACAGTAACTGTCTTATAGAGTTGACATTGCTCTTGTTGTGTATTGAGTCATTTCTGAACGCTCCTTGTGATAGTCATTGGAAAGCTATGGTCTGCATTCTTATATGCATCAAGAATCACTAAGTAAAAGGTTACTTTATGAAACCAAGGCAATGCAAGTATTGGCTGTTGCTAGATCCCAGACGAGTAAGAAATAGCACATAGTTGCTAGATCCCCAGTGCAGAGACAAGTGTTGTGCAATGAAGCAGCTATTTCTGAACTTAACCAAGCTACATTGTTGCTTCAAATCCAATATTCAGTGAAAGAATCAAACACGTAAAGATTGACTGCATTGTGTTAGAGAAAAGCTTCTTTCTGGCAAGATAACTACTGGGTTCTGTCAATGCCATTGATCAAATTGTTGATTTATTTTCCCAGTCCATTAGAGGGCTTGGGTTGTTAAGCACATATATTCCAACTACGGAGTTAGAATTAAGCATATGTATAATGGGTTGTATTAGCTGTTACTGACCTCTAGGTGATTAGTGCTCTGATTAGCTCTAGTTTAGGAAATGATTACTGTTATAATTAATATTGTACATAATGTAAATATATGCATGTGTAGACTGATTACCACAGATTATTCCTGCAACTCTATATCATTTAATTTGTTCTTCATATTTCTGTTTATTGTCTGATTAGTTTCTCTTATGAAAATACTAAATGTGCTTGTGTGTTCAGACACATGGGGAGACAAGTTTCCAAATTCTGACCCTGACTGGGACCTGATTATTGCGAGTGATATCTTATTGTGTAAGTTATCTTCTAACTTGCTGTCTTGGTTAGCCATTTTTCTTTTTCTTCTCCTTTTCTTTCCAAATGAATATTAGTTCATTACAAATAATACAATTTATTCATTAATGGATAGCCTGCAGTTATTGGTTTGTGAACCTATAAAACTACCACAAATATTTCTTGCAGATTGAAAAATGATTAAATAATGAAGTTACTTGTAGAAAAAGAAAGATCTCAAGTTTATATTGAAATGTCTTGAGTTATGCTGAGTTCTTAGCAGTTAGTAAATAGTGGCCCAGACTAATATCTCAATGACAGCCTAGTATCTTTATTGATCTTGTAATGGTGAAGGTATTTTTCTGTTAGATATTTTTTATTTTAGGTGCAATGTTTGTCTATATTGAGCTGTCACTAGGATGTTACTGTTTTTCGGAATGCCAAGATTGGTAAATGGTAAAGCCAAAGCTGGCTTTGATTATTTGGGAAGGATATTTTGAATTTTATGATTGTGGAAAGGAGGGAGCTAGTGCTTTATCCTGTTGCCACATTGCCTATTTTGGATTCCTATTCCCACTAATGATTTGCTTTTCATGAAAATTTCATACTGTTTAATAAATATTAAAATGTCATTTAATTTCTACATCCTCTTAATATTTAATTGTATTTAAACTTTTGGCTGCGATACATGGTGTTCTGGTTCTGGCCACACTTGACAGGTACTTGACAAGTTTTCTGATCATTATGCTCTGGGAAATGTCTTAATTGAGTTTCTGATCTCTTCACTTTTGGATTCCTTTCCTCTTTATTCTCTTCCGTAGAGAAAAGAAAGATTATTAGATATGGAAGGAGACTCTTATATCTCTCAAATCTTAAATGTTTGTAGATGTGAAACAGTATGCAAATTTGATAAAGACCATTTCCTTTCTTCTCAATTTTTACAAGCCCCGGGATAAGAAAGCAATTTTTCCAACTGGAAATGATGAGAATGATGGTATTGTGCTAGATACCCTTTTAACCATCATGCTTTAGCTTCTCAAGTTTGCATCTTTTCTGAATCTTGTGTTGGCAGGAAATGTAGTGTTGCCATGGCCAGCCTTTTTGATGAGCTGGAGGCGCAGAATCGGAAAGGAAGATGAATTGCTTTTCTTCAACGGTTGTGAGGAAGCTGGTCTAAAAGTGAAGCATATTGGATCCCGTGTATATTGCATCTATCCCAAAGAAAATGAGAAATCAGAAACAAAATCTTGACTAAACAATGTAGTAATGAAGCATGCCTAAAGGAGAATGAAATGAAAATTGAAAGGTTCGTCCATTATCAAAGTTTCTCCGGGCCATAGTTTTAGCTTCTATAGTTTAATTTATAGCTAGTTGATAACAGTCATACCAACTATAAAACTTTTCATTTTGAGCTGAGAGTAACGATGCTACAATTTCTTTGACTTTGTTATATTTTTGTTACATAATCATTGAAATAGATCTCTCGGTCGAGAAATTTAAGGTGGGGACATTTACTCTCTTGTTATTGCATTTCGATGATGCTTCCCTTTCAATGGAATTCATTTCTGGGTTTTTGCCTTAGCCATTGTGACATGATCATGTAAAATTATAAATCTGGTAAGTTTGATTGAATCAAAATGTAGAGCCTTATTGTTACTTGTCCAATTTTGCTTTTCAGGTAACATACAAAAATTACAAGGCATGGTGGAGCCCCCAAGGGTTGGCATGATGTATAATATTTTTTGGGTTATTACTAACATGACCCATTAATTTCAAATGTCAGGAGATACGGTATCTACGGACAAATCACTCTGCGGTGACTTTGTTTTCGCTGAAGACGACAAAGCTGATATTTTAGCCACACTAGTGTGGTGGTATTATGTCTCGAAACTTTGAGTCGCAAGTTTGAGATTGCTTTGCTTATGATTTCTTTGGAATGGGATGTGATACGTAATTATGTACGTATGATGGACCCAAAAGAAAATTTGGTACGGAAGTCAAGACTACGTTTGTGTACAGGGATCCGGATCCTTTGCAGCGTTGGCAGGAACTGCAGGAATCTAATAAAACTTGATTTTGGCTTAAGCAAAAAATTTAGCTTAAGCGAATTTAGTTAAAAAGTGAATTTTTGCTTAAGCTAAAAAATTCGCTTAAGCCAAAATTGTGAAAAATTTCAAAATTTCATCTTCTACTTTAAATTGCAGAAAATTCAAGAAACATTTATTTCTCACCAACAACTACTTAGTTACTAAAGACTTTTACATAATTTATCACACCAAATATTTCAAATGTATTGTTTAGTGTGCTATTTGTGTTATAGAACTATTTGAAATCAAGTTAAATTGTTGATAATTATAATAAGAATTATACGAATGATAACTTTTAGAAATTGGTTGAGAAATAGTTACATTATTACATGTTTTAAAATATTTAAGTTTTTGTATTATGACTATAATAAAGTGTGACTATATGATCTTGTACAAATGTTTTTAATTGTATTGTTTAGTGTGCTATTTGTGCTAAACATTAGTGAGATAGAACTATTTAGAATCGAGTTAAATTATTGAAATGATGATAAGGATTATATGAATGATAACTTTGAGAAATTAGTTGAGAAATAGTTTTGATATTACATATTTTGAAACATTTAAATTTTTATATTATGACCATAAAATGTGACTATATGATCTTGTATAAATGTTTTTAAATGTATTGTCTAGTGTGTTACTTGTGCTAAATATTAGTGAGGTAGAACCATTTATAATTAAGTTAAATTGTTTGAGAATGATGATAAGGATTATAGGAATGATAATTTTAAGAAATTGGTTGAGAAATAGTTGTGATATTACATCTTTTGAAATACTTAAGTTTTTGTTGTATGGTCGTAAAGTGTGATCATATGATCTTGCATAAATGTTTTTCAACTTTTATGCAGTTTAAAGAGAAAAAAGATAAAGTTTTAAAATTTTTCATAATTTTAGCTTAAACGAATTTTTTAGCTTAAGTGAAAATTCACTTTTTAACTAAATTTACTTAAACTAAATTTTGGCTTAAGCTAAAATTAAGTTTTATTAAATTTCGCTAAGTGAATTTTTTCGCTTAAGCGAAAACGTACTGTGCCTCCTGCAGTTTCCACCAACACTGTAGAGGATCCGGATCTGTGTACAAGATAATCAGAAGTAGTAACTGATTTTTTTAAAATCAGGATGTTGCCACATTATTGGTCTAAAGATTCTTTTTTATTTAATATTTTTAGGTTAAAATATTATTCTACTTTTTCTTTTGTTTAATAAAACACCAATCTTTTAATAAAAATTTCTTTCTTCTACGAAATCTCTGTTGCAATGTGACTTTAAAAATCGTGTAAACTTGGTTTGTTGAAGGAAACAAATCATTTTTAAGACTCCGACTTGTAAGAGAAAGTTTCTAGCTCCCTGAAATTTTCTGGTAATTTTTGCTCCGAAACTTCAATCACTTCTCACTAAAGAATAAGGTCCTGAGGTGGATTGCCACGTTTTCCTTCATGGATGAGGGATTACTGAAGAATTAGTTTGGTGTTCCTTTAAATTTAAGAGGAAAAAAAAAGAAGGATGTGTTTTTATGTAATATTTCATATAAAATTCATCTTAAATTTATAATCTTTATAGTTAATACATGAATGGTTTCTTTTGTTACCAGTCTTATTGAATTTTTTTAATAATATTCAAAAGAAGTAATTCCCTTTTCTAAACAGAGATTTGAAATCCAAATTTAAATAAAACTTGCAAAATTTTCATGTAAACAATTACTTACCTCTAACATTATGTAGAATTATTTTTAGTATGATTTTATGTTTGTATACAATTTATTACTCTCTATAATCTATTCTCTTTTAAATTTTTAAAAATTGTTATTCTTTTTATAAAGTTCTCCCTGCACACCCTGACAAGGATTTCGTCAATTTATATTCCAATTGACCAAAGTTCTGTCGATTTGGAGAATGTTCCTGAAATGCACAAAATGATCTTTTTTAAAAAAAAATTATTTTCATTCATATATATATATATAACCAATACATCTATAGCATAATCATAAACGTCACCAGATTAAAAAATAAATTATGTACTTGATTAAGAGTTATTACGGATGAGGTAATTAATTAATTAATAGATAACAACATTCATTGTTTAATTAGTACAGTAAGTAAAGTAATATTTTTATTTGTTTGATCGAACTTAAGTTGGATAAGACTATTAAAAAAAATATTTTTTTTATTAAATTTTAACATTATTGTATGTTAAATATTTAAACTTACAATTATTAATTGATTTTTATTTTAAAAATAAGATAGACTTTTGGAATTATAGTAAGGATTAATTTAAATCCATTTAGGTGACTCAACTACCAAATCAACCTTAAATTAAAACAATCCCAACACATTTATTTATTTAAGCCAGTCTATCAAATGTTAATCAATATATTAATAACAATATACTATTGCAATAATGCGTGTCAACAAATAATTGAAGGATCCCAACCGCTGAGCTGTCTCTCACACCCGCTTTATCATATCTTCTTGATAATTTTATATAAATACCAATAATTATATGTATTAGTCAAACCTGTAATCTATCAACTTCTATAATGATATGACTCCAATTTCTTATTCAGAAAATATTTTTTAAAAATTCACCTGTGTAAATGTATGATTCAAGTGAGTTTAGATATTCTCACATGTAAATTTAAAATTTTTTATAATTGATTTAAATTTTTTATTTAATTTATATTTAGTGGTTTATAATTTATTATTTTATTTATTATTAAATAAAAATTAAATAAAAATTTAGATTAAATATAAATTTTTTTACTTACACTAATGTAAAAAGATATTCCCTCTCTATTAAAATTAATATAATATAAATTTTATTTTAAAATTATTAATATTTTAAAAAAATTTAATGGATAAAATTTTGTCTAATTTTTTTAAAAGAAAATAGAAAAGATCTATTTTTGTTTTAAGTTCTTATACATGACTCATCCAGTTGGAATATGTTGATTAAAAGTTATTTGGTGACAGGTCTATTGATTATAAATCATACTTTTTTTAAACTAGTTTATAATTTATACAATATATTGATATTTTATTTATTTTAAAATATATAATTTAATTATTAAAAATAAAATTTTATATTTTATAAAAAAATTATATATATAATAAAATTATTTTAAACAATATTTTTAAAAATTAATTAATTTTATAAGTATAAATAGTATGGATCAAAATTATAAAAATTTAATAAAATTGAATTTTTTCAAATATAATTTATTTTAAAATAATATTTTATTGTGTAGTGTCAAAATTTTTAATTATATGTCAATAATTAATATATATTAATAATTATAAATTTAAGAGAAAATACTTTTAAAAGTAAATTTTAAATTTAAAAAAAATAAAAATAAAGATAATTTTTATAAATATAAAAATTTATATAAATTAATAAGAAAAATTTAAAAGCAGTTTTAATTTCTAAAATTTAGAATAAAAAAAAAATAAATAAAACTATTGTAGCAGAAAGAAAGTATAAAATATATTATTTATAGTCAATTTTAATATTAAAATGTATATGTATAACTAACTGTGAAGGCTAATAATTTTACTAATGCTTTGTCACTTATCAATCAATCTCAGGTTGATTAATATATTTTAGACAAAGTATTAATAATTTTATATTCATATTTTATATTCATATATTTAAGTTATACATCATATATAAAATCATCACAATGTTTAAATTGACCCTATCACATTATGTAATGCTGTTGTTGACCGATGAAAATTGCAAGCAAGCCTCACAAACCCTCAATTGAATAGACCACACATAATATCACGAATATATATTCTCAAATTTACACAAAAAAATATATATACATTCTTAAATAGATGCTTCAACAATCAATGTACTCCTAATTACATAAGCATTCCTTTCTAAGGCAACAAAACGATAGACGGATCATTTAGAATATGCCAGAAGTAAAAGAAAAGAAACATATATTTGTAGAGGTTGAATTGGTTAGTGAGACAAGTTATGTAGATCAAGTTATATTTCTTTGAATGGAAAAGAGGAAGCTTCGCAGAAAGCTGTGAAGGTGTTGAGGAACACATGCATGTGGGGTCATACCTGAAGATGAAAACTTAATGTGGCTATTGGGTATGTTGAAGGGTGAATACGATGTAGCAGCTTGGGATTGGACCGAAACCATTTCCCGATGATGTTTGTTTGAAGGCAAGTGATAATTTGATGAGTGTGAAGCTGAAATAAGGAATTTGGATAAACATGGAATTCTGAAATGTTGGATGCATTATTGATAAGAACGGCAACAAAGGAAATTGACATTATTTATCATTTACTGGCATGTGAACCTCCCTAGCCTTTGCCTTCGTGACAATGAATAGTTATTTGTAAGCGGCATAAAACACTTATGAAAATGTGGTTAGAATACAACATTGATTTTGTGCAACAAAATAATAATAATAATGGAATGCACCCAATAATGATTTTTGTGCTGTCTCCTGGCTGTACATATGGGTACCATTTCATGGGAGGAAATTAATTTTTGATGGGACTTTGAAATGTGTTAAAATCTTTGATGGGTTCAATCCAAATAACCTCTCTATATGTCATTATTATCAGTCACCAAGTATGGACAAGATTTCGGGATCCTTGTAATATATTTATACACGTCATGTGGATTGTCTTATCATGACTTTATGCTAAAAGTACATATTAATTTGGGGTTAAAATGTCTTATGGAAGCATTTGAGAATAAGGAGATTCAATCTAGGAGAAAAGGAAAAAAAAAAAATCAATAATTCAAATTGGTCCCACTTAAACTTAGTGGATTAGGCTAATTAATTTAGTTTCTTGTGTAAGCTCGCAAGATCGGTCAAATCGAAAATAACAATCATGAAATGACAGGTTTTTATGTTTGCACAAAAAATGAGCACAAATAAAATTTCTGTTTGCACAGAAAATGGTCATTTAATGGCAGGTATTTCTTCCCACTGTTTTTATTTTCTTTAACTTTACTTAGATGGCTTTTGATGACATTTAGATTAATCATTTAAATTAGACTAAAGTACTACAAATTCACGAATATTCGAAGCTACTTCATTGATAGAGGAAAAAGAGAAATAACTGAGGGTTTGAAGTTTTAGCATGTAATTGCATGTTTCAAATAGTAACTCTTACTAACTATTCAATGATCATTTTGAAGACAAACCATATGCTATGAAAAATAAACTTT